CACAAACTTACAAAACAACACACAAACTTACAAAACAACACACAAACATATATATATATATACCAACATAAACTTACAAAACAACACACAATAGCACACAAACTTACAAAACAACACACAAACTTACAAAACAACACACAAACTTACAAAACAACACACAAACATATATATATATATACCAACATAAACTTACAAAACAACACACAATAGCACACAAACTTACAAAACAACATACAATAGCACACAAACTTACAAAACAACACACAATAGCAGACAAACTTACAAAACAACACACCAACTTACAAAACAACACACAAACGTATAAAACAACACACAAAATTACACACAACAACACGCAAACTGACAATACAACACACATACTTACAGAACACACAAACTTACAAAACAACACACAAACTTACAAAACAACACAAAGTAACAAAACAACACACACACTTACAAAACAACACACAAACTTACAGAATAGCGCACTTCCAAGTACTCCGCCTCCACAGGAACGTCCAGCTTGTCAAAGGCGTAGAACCGCTTGACTTTCTGGACACACACGCAGAAACAATTTAGAATTAGTAAGCGTTTTTTTGGCACTTGCAACACAATAAGGTCATATAAGTGCAAAAGATTAGAGGTGTTACAAGAGAGTAACAAACACAAAAAAGAAGGAGGGGAGATAAAGACGATAGGTGTTTGATAAGAAAGAAGAAGCAAACCACACCAGAGCACCTGCCAACCACCCACAGAGAAACAATCTGAATTAACTCTTTAAGCCCTGAGTTTTTTCTACCGTTTCCTGAGTTTTTTTCTATAGTCACCTAAACCTAGTGCACTATGTCTCATTATAACCCCAAAAGCTTTGCCTCCAACTTCTAAATAGCGGAAACAAAGGCTTAGTCATTACTAAAAAAGCTTGGTTTGGGAATAGTTCCGAAAAACAAGCAAAAACTAGTATTACATAACACGAAGCAGTAGTCACTAGTACTGGACGCTCCAAGCATCCGATGGGGTACACGGTTATTACCGCCGGACGCTCCCAACGTCCGATGAGATGGGGACCAAAGAGTTAAGAATTCAAGTACTACTCTACAGCTCAGGCTATGACTTCAGATTTCCCACAACATGACTAAGCCCGAGGAAAAATGCTGCGTAATCGTAAGAATCCAGGAAAGAAGCATGCAAACACTATCAGAGCAAAGGTTATTTAGTCTGCATATTTCTAATAATAATAATAATAATAACAACAATGAAGGACGTTTTAAAATCGTCTACTCCAGCCTACAGCTCTAGGCGTTTTAGTTTAGTTTTAGTAAGAGTTTTACGGCACTTGCAACACAATAAGGTCATATAAGTGCTGAAGATTAGCGGTGTTACAAGAGAGTAACAAACACAAAAAAAAGGAGGGGAGATAAAGACAATAGGTGTTTGGTAGGAAAGAAGAAGCAAACCATACCTAAGGCATCCGCCAACCACCCACAGAGAAACAATGTGCATTAAGAATTCAAGTACTACTCTACAGCTCAGGCTATGACCTCCCACAACATGACTAAGCCTGAGGAAAAATGCGTAATCGTGAGAATCCAGGAAAGAAGCATGCTAACAGGGTAATGGTTATTTAGCCTTCATATTTCTAATAATAATAATAATAACAACAATGAAGGACGTTTTAAAATCGCCTACTCCAGCCTACAGCTAAAGGTGTTTTAGTTTAGTTTTAGTAAGAGTTTTATGGCACTTGCAACACAATAATGGTTATTTAGCCTTCATATTCTTAATAATAATAACAATGAAGGGCATTTTAAAAGCGTCTACTACAGCCTACAGCTCTAGGCGTTTTACATCAAAGTAAAAAATAGTCACTGTGAAAAAAGCACATACACACAGATCTACACATCGCACACACACACACCAAAATGACCATGGACTGAAAAACACAACTGACCTTGGTTTAAAAACAGATTTTGCCATGATCGCCATGAACTAAAAAACAAAACTTACCACGGACTGAAAAACCAGAACTTACCATGGACTTGAACTTTAAAATCCTGTTCTTCTCCGCTACCTTGTCAAACTCCTCGTAGACCATCGGCATGGTCACATCTTCTTCCAGCTCCACGTTGTGTTTCAGATTCATTCTCTGAGGTAAATTAGTTTCGTTTTAGTAGAGGTTTTACGGCGCTCGCAACTGCATAAAGTCATATGAGCACCAGAAGATTAGAGGTGTTACAAAAGAGTAACAAACATAAAAAAGAAGAAGGGGAGATAAGGACAATAGACGTTTCATAGGAAAAAAAGCAAACAACACCAGAGCACCCGCCAACCACCTACTGGGGTAAAATATATAAAACAATCAGTTTAGTTTTCGTAAGAGTTTTACGGCACTTGCAACACAATAAGGTAATACAACAAGTGTCAAAGATTACAGGTGTTACAAGAGAGTAACCAACACAAAATAGAAGGAGAAGAGATAAGGACGATAGATGTTTGATAGGAAAGAAGGAGCGAGCAAACCACACCAGAGCAGCTGCCAACCACCCACATAAAGCAATCAGAATTCAGATTGTAGTCTTAATGGACAAAAGCACATCGTCACACAAACTGTCACTTACTTCAGGGAAAGTCAGAGAAACGAATAGTTCGGAATAGGGTGATATGTTGGGGTGGTTTTAGTTTAGTTAAAGAGTTTTACGGCATTTGCAACACAATAAGGTCATATAAGTGCCGAAGATTAGAGGTGTTACAAGAGAGTAACAACAAACGTAAAAAAGGAGGAGAGATAAGGACGATAGATGTTTAAGAAGAAAGAAGGAGCAAACCACACCAGAGCACCCGCCAACCACCGGGTGGGGGGTGACTGAAATGCCTTTTGATTGGTCACTCAAAACGCTTTTGAGAGAAGGTCTGGGTCATTTCAAGTTTAGTTTAGTTTAGTTTTAGTAGAGGTTTTACGGTGCTCGCAACTGCATAAGGTCATATGAGCTCCAGAAGATTAGAGGTGTTACAAGAGAGTAACAAACATAGAAAAAAAGAAGGGGAGATAAGGACGATAGATGTTTGATAGGAAAGAAGAAGCAAACCACACCAGAGCACCCGCCAATCACCCACAGACATTTCAAGGACCCCCAAGCGAGTTCCTGTGTACAGTCAGAATCGCCGACCACTTGGTGTCACAGTGCCAGAAGAGAGAGAAAAAGAGTGGGGGGGAAAAAAAAGAACCCCCCCCC